GTCCACATTGGATTGTGAGGCATTTCTGATGTCTAGACTCACTAGAGCTTTGATTGACTATGGCTCAATGTAATGTTCAAAAACCCGTAGTCCTGGGCATTGTGTGAACATAATCGATAGGGGTTTTTGATGTGGGATTATCCCTTGATGACGTCGAAAATGTGCCCAGGATAGTTGGCCAGGGGCCATGGATTTGATCTTTATGTGTGATGGATGGCCTGAGAGGACAAGGGCCTAAATCTTCATCATTACCATCACCACAGCATGTACACTAGATCGTCGTCCGGGAAGCGGTCTTTTTGGATAAGGGTGTGTGACGTGTACATGTACAGAAGAGATGACTTCCTGCATCACTGAACTGTATAGGAAGGACCTATGGAGCATACTGTTGAAATAGGGCCTGAACTTGTCCTCAGGGAGGGACTTGTTATCCATGGATTAGGATCGTATCTCCTTCATTTATTGGCCGACTTTAATAGTCCAATCATGAACCCCTACGAAGGGTCGTGGATCATGGGAACTATTGGGTCAGTTTGAGAAGGTCCAGTGAGATACGATCTCTAGAGAGGATGAAGTCTTTAGTATATTTGTCGTAATCCTAACTCTATGGATCCAATTCCTATCAAATCTACTTAGATATGTTTAAATATGTTTTAATTATTTTTCAGATTAAAATGAACTTTTAGACCTCTCTGGGTATTTTATTTTATTGAAAAATAATTTATAAATAAAAAATCAATTTTCTAGATTTATTTTAATCATAAAGAAAAATAAAATATTTAAAGGCTTTATGAAATTATTTTATTATTTGAAAATAATGTTTAAGACATTGGGGGCCTATTGGAGCTCTTTGGGCCCACTAATATATGGCATGATGGCATGTGCTAGAGCCCACTCTTCATGAGGGAAGCGTGATCTCACACGCTGATGTAAGGGAGGTTGATGGGCCCATTATAAATCCTTTCAGGAAACGGGCTTGGGTCAAGATGGTAGGGGCTAGGTTTTCATAACCCAACGTCCTAAGTTCCATTCCTATGTAACCTTGTAAAAAAAATATATATATATGTGGGGCGTGGGGCCCACATGGCTGTTGCCCTATGGGTGGTGTGCCTCACCTCCTCCATACTTTCCTAAATTGAAATATGACAATTAAGCCATGTGTTGACTTGAAAGTTTTACGAAACCTTTTGTATAGAGATTTTGATTGTTTTCAAAACGGGAAAGTGTAAGAAAATAAATGGAATAGAAAATAAATGGAATAGAGCATGGTTATCGGGATTGCCTCCCTTGGTTGACGATCCCTTGCAGAACCTCGATTCACTCTATGCAAGAGTGGATCTTGTTTGAAACTCAATTTAGTGTTTTCGGGATCCTGCTCCATCTTATACGGGAACGAGTTCCCAGCAATTTAATTTTTAGTTCTTGAACATTGCAGGATCTAGTTCCCTAGTCTTATGGTTTGCGCTCCAGAGTGCATTGAGATCTATATTCCCAAATAACGGAACACAAGCATCGCCATATGTGGCATCTAGATTCTATCAATATGGGATTGCTTTAAAGTTCCCTATTTATTTCATAGATGACTAAGCCTACATGTTATTGGTTAACAATGTCGGGAGCTACATTTTAAAGCCAGAGATCCCTATTACCTACACAAGGAACTCGTGTCCTAAGACAATGGAGCTCGTTCTTACAAAAGTTATTCCTCGCTCCTTAATATTTTGGATCACTTTTATTAATGCGCTCCATGAGTTCAGAAACAAAAAAAAATGCCCTTGAGAAGTTCGCTTCTTACGTATGGGATCTCTTACCTTTATATAATAATTCTCAATCTTATGTAATAAAGGAGCTCGATCCCCAACACACATGGACTTCAATCCCGACCTTTGAGGTTGTATGGGCGTCGATCCCTAACACAGGGATCTTCAGTATAGCTTCGATCCGCCGATCCCGCCCCTGATCTTGGAACTGTTCTCGTTCCTGTACCCATCAACTATGTAATAGAGTTAATACTTTCTCTACACTATTTAATGGAAATGGAGTTTTTGTAATTGAGAGATAATGGTTCCACCGCATTCCTTTAATCATGATGACTGATCTAAGGAATGAATGGATGAGATCTCTTCATCCCACAGGTCTCCACGATCAAAAGTCAAGATTAAATCTCATAATGATGGTAAAACCCTTACCCTAGATTCTATATAAACTAGCTATGGGGGATTCATTCTCTATACTCTAACTCTCTCTCTATCTTTGAGTCTCAAGGGGGTGGCACGCCCATCTAAACTTCTCTCTTCTCTCTCTAAGATTAGGGCTTGGGAAAGAAAACAAACCCTAAGGGGTGGCACGCCCAAGCCACATAGCTTAGCCCTAGGACTTGGCCTTATGCTCATGTGTTGAGCCTTGGTTAAGAATATCCCATGTTCTGCTCTCTGCTGGTTTTGCCTAAGCTTCCCAAGTAGTGAGATGAGATCTTGAACCAAGATCCCGTGTGCCATGATGGCAAGCAAGATTTCTTGGCAATTTTATTTGGTTTATATTGTATTTGGACACTTGTGAGTGATTCGGGTGGCAATGCAATAAGAAAAAATAAATTTTTTTTAATCGATATTGACTTGCCCGGTCACATAGTCCACCTTCCATCCTTGTGGGTCTTCAGGTACTTGTTTTTGAGCTCCACCTCTTTTTCCAATAAAGGAACCTTGAGCTCATATGGTGGAGGTGCCTTATATCTCGGGTGAAACTGCCTCACTACCTCCAACATAGCGTGGAAGCTTTTCAAAGTGGCAGTATTAAATGGCTAACATGCTCGATAATACCATCTTGCTACATAATGATTAACCCGATCTCTACCTTGCTTCTTTAATTGACTCTCCAGACTAGTCTATGTTTGTGCCCTTTCTCAAAGTACAACCTCAGAATTGGGAGGGGGAAAGAATGTATTTATAGGCACCCTTCTTCGAGGTCTCTTATGCCCAAAGTGCTTGGTGTAGATATGGATGCCTCTTCCTCTTAATCTTCCTCTACCATAGATATTTACAAATATCTTGATGTCTTCATATTGTTTCCTTTTCTCTTCTCTCATCTTTTGAATCCCTTGCAAAAGTTCCGACATCTATTTTCTAACATCTTGAGGGACTTGAGTACATGGCGTTACGTCCCCTCTAATGCTGGCCAAATGCTTCTTCATTCGATTAATGTCAGCATTGTATTCCTTTGTATAGAATTTGTAAGCTGCCTCGTTCTTGTCATTAGAATTGGGACAAAATCCATTTTTCCAAAACTTGTTTATTTGAACTCGCGGAAGCTACAATCGTTAATTATTATTAACTTATCACGTAATCCTGAAAATCACATAAAACCACAAAAGTCAAACTTGAATACATTTACAAGAAGTCCAATGTGTAGATAAATTCACAAAAGCAAGATTAATTTACAACTATGTAGTTTAAAAATTTATAATTGATCATCCAAATGCTCATCTAAAAAATTACAAATAGGCAACAAAGTATAAAGAATACATATATTTGACCTTTCAATATTTTGAGAATCCAAGGAAGAAGTAAAGCTATCGTGCTCAAGAGAAAATAAAATAAAAAGAAAACTAAAATAATGTCAAAAAACTCAAGGTAAAACCTAACATCAAAATTGCAATTATTTGAAGCATAAAATTGAAAAACAAAAATGAATCACGCAAGTAAACTAACTCATGCGACAAAAAAAAGTATTAAATTGGTTTGGGAGCATTGGACTTTTCCCATTGAAGTAAACTAACTCATGCAAAAAAAAAAAAGGAAAAAGGTTTGGGGGCGCCATGTACTTTTTTCATTGAATTGCTTTCCCAAACTAAAAATCAACGTAGAGAATAATCCAAATAAAAACTATTTAAAATATCAAAAAGAAGAAGCACAAAGGAAGGATAACATATCATGATACATTTTACACAAAAACCCGAATTAAAAATATTGTAATACAGCAACCTTCTCAAAATGGAATCGATATCAGCCCAAATCTTTGACTTTTGGTTGCCAAAAGTCCTCTTTTGCAACCACTCCAAGCTCCAAAAAGATTAGGGATGGATGTCTTTTGATTTCGCAAGAAATTGAGGAGTTTGAAATTTGTTTTGATCTTTTGAAAAATCTAGAGAATTTTTCTCTCTCTAAAACTCCTCCCTCAGTCAAGGGTGTGCGAACCGCCGCCTAGATGGGTGCCTTGGCCTGCCCACCTAGGGGCCACTGTTGGCTAGTGGTTTATCGTCCAGGGCACCTATGCTGTCCGACCGCTGCCTGTTTCAGCCTTGCAATTAACAAATTACACCAGTGATTATAAACATGGATTTCAGCTTGGACTTGGTGGGGTCCTGCGCCAGAAGCAGCTGGTTTGACTCCTGGGTCTTAAACTAGACTTGGCCGAATTTGTGAAAAAGACTTAGTAGGTTTAGGAACTGGTGAAACTAACGCTTGTCCTGAGGTTTTCTAAGCAGGACTAATATCTTGCTAAGTCCAAGTGACTCGAGCGATTCCACAGTCTAAGTTTTAAAACACTGAAGTGAATATTTACCAAAATGCAAGACTGAAGTACATCTTAACATTATGTGCCTAAGAGTCCAAGGACTACGTGAATGCTAATTGATTGCACAGTAAATTCCTTGAACTGCGTAAATATTTTGCAGTAAATTGCCTAATTGACAATAAGCCCTTTGTTATAGCCAACACTGCATGCAGAGGAAATGTACCCAACATAGAAGAAATTGATCTCCATGCCTTTTGTTTTCTGCAGTCTCTCTCAATTAAAACGTCTGAGCTATTCTTCAATAGCTGTACCATGTGTTTATGTCTGATGTAGAGGTGCTGGTTCTGCACACTGTTTAGTTTGTTTGTTGATGGAACTTGACATGTGTTCAACATTACATACCTTAGTAATTGGTTTCAGTTGGATTTCATTATTGTTTGATATTCTTCTTTGGTTTGTCTTTAATTTGATAGTCTTTTGGATGACAGGCTTGGTTTAGAAGAGGAAAGGTGAACGTAACTTTGAAAAAGTATGAAGGTGCAATCAATGACTTGAATGTAGCATTGAAGATGGAGAGCTCTTTGGTTGGGAAGAACCAGATAAAAGATGAGTTGCATTTTGCAATAAAACAGTCTAAGAGGATTGGTGAATCAAGCACTTCCTCTTGTAGAACAAATGGGTTGGAATTGGAACCCGATGGTAAATTCATTGCTCATATTTATTTCAAATTTCTATCCACACTATTGGTTTGCATCATTGAGTTAAATCAAATGCGATATTCCCTTAATTATCAGGCATTTTTGCAAGTTCGATCTGTGATTGTTGGTGGTAATGATTACAATACAGGGAGTGCTTATGCAATGGAAAAATTGTCAGCTAGGCTCCCAACCTATGTTGCAGGGAAACGGGTATCTATGTCAAATTCAGACATGGGTATGGGGCATCGTATTCCTCATGCCATGAAAAAGAGGAATCGGTGCCTTGGTTATAGTATGAGAACCAAATCCAACAATATTCTGCTACTGTCCCATTTCATGATCAGTAGCAAGATAAAAACCAATAATACGTTAGTTCACAGAATCCATATATACTTTTCACAGGTCATGTGCCTACTCATAAACAAAAAATACGATCAGGACTCTAGGATGATGTAACAAATGATTGGTACACCACAAGAAGAAGCCAAGAGAATCTCTGTTGGCATATGTGTCAATAGGTGTCCAACACGAGTACAGCATCCACACAAAGTAATTCATTGCTCTATCATATTAACTGCCTCCTGCGTGATGGCTTAAGGTTGTCCAACCAACCCTTGCTAACTACCACTTCACAGCCCCCATGTGGAACCCCTTCACAATATTCTGCTACTGTCCCATTTCATGATCAGTAACAAGATAAAAACCAATAATACGTTAGTTCACAGAATCCATATATACTTTTCATAGGTCATGTGCCTACTCATAAACAAAAAATACTATCAGGACTCTAGGATGATGTAACAAATGATTGGTAAACCACAAGAAGAATCCAAGAGAATCTCTGTTGGCATATGTGTCAATAGGTGTCCAACACGAGTGCCGCATCCACACAAAGTAATTCATTGCTCTATCATTAATAACTGCCTCCTGCGTGATGGCTTAAGGTTGTCCAACCAACCCTTGCTAACTACCACTTCACAGCCCCTATGTGGGACTCCTGCAATTCCTGCCTGTTGCTTTTCATCCCTTAATCTTAGTTTGCTCCTCCACCTTCTTTCCATTCATAATTCCTCTAATTCAATCACATGCTCGTGTCATAGATATCCCCAAATTCTCGACAAGACCTTCTTGCCTGTTGCCCAAGTGTCCCTTTCCTCAAATTTTAATCCGGCCAGGTTCCTAATTGCCATTAGAGAGTAGATGTCACCAACATACCTCTTTTGCAAAGTGTTAAAAATCCTTTTTTATCCAAGTCCTAGAATCCAAGTGTCTAAGTCTGATTGTATGGGTAGTTTTGTCCATAACATATTTGTAAGGCAGTTTTATTTGTAAGACTTTCTTTTCAATAACATATAAGTTAAGAGGTGCGTGAGCGTTTGTTTTGAACCTCATGTCACTCTCCTCTCTCTCAAATCTCTCATATCTCTCTCTTCAGGTCTCTCATATCTCTCTCTTCTCTCTCTCTTTCACATCTCATATCGCTCTCTTCTTTTTCTCTGTTCTCTCTCTAGATGTTTTGACATGGTATCACAGCTGATCTAAACTTTTCTTTATCTTCCTCGTACTTCCCGTTTCCTTTCATCTTCCCCTTTTGTTTCATCTTCCCTAGTCTTTCCCTTTTCTTTCTTCTCCTTTCCTTTCCAAAAAAAAAGAAAAAAAAAGAAAAGAAAAAGGAAACTCTAAGCCTGTTGATGCTGATCTTGTCAAGGGGCGCCGTGGGCTGTTCTATATAAACCGTAGGGCTATTTCCTAGTTTTTTTGTGTGCAGAAGACCATGTGGATATGTTGTTAGTGTGGCGATGCTGCTGCTGTGTGTGATTTTCTTTCGAGATCAAGATCTATAGAGAGGGTGGCCTAGTTTCGATAATGGCAGCATAGTGATGCTCAGATGTGTTCAATGTAGTGTTGCCCTAATTCGTTCGTGTGTGAGAGCGTGGCTAGATCTGAATGATAAGTATCTTATTCCTCTTTAATTTGTTTCTAAAATTGTATATGCTTGTGTGAGTGACTGAAATTTACCGGTCCTGGTTGTCCTCTCTCAAAAAGAAAGTAAACCTGGAATCCTTAGTCTTCTCGAAACCATGGGGATACAAGTCACCTCAGTAAAATTAAATGAGTCTAGTTATGTTGCATGGGCTCAATCTGTCAAAGTATCCCTTGGTGCAAGGGGAAAACTGAAATACTTGACTGAGGATAAGCGCAGTAAATCTGATAATAAATATAAAGCGTGGATGAGTGAGAATTATATAATCATGACCTGGCTATGGAGTAGCATAGAAACCTAAATAGGAGCGAATATCATATTTCTTAATAGAACTAAACAAATTTGGGACTTTCAAAGAAACATATTCATCGGATAAAAATCTCTTTTAGTGCATATGAGTTGTTTGAGAAAATGTTTCAATTGCAACAGGTTAATAAGAGTGAGTATTATAGTACCCTCGGGGGCATGTGGGAAGAGCTGAATCTATATCTACCTATATCTGGTGATGTGGAATTACAAAAGAGGCAGCGTGAAGAATTTAGGGTTGCCAAATTTTTATTTGGCCTTGCATGTGAGCACCATTTGGTATGTGGACATCTTGGAAAGCAGTGAACTCCCATCTCTCTCATATGTTTACTATGCGCATTCAATGTGTCAATGTGTCAATATATCTGCTTCTTCCACTCCTTCTGACTTAAGTATTAGTGCAGAGGTTGGGGGCTTGGTCGTGACTCAGGAAGAGGCCAAGGTATAGGTGATGGTTGCAGGGGTCGAGGAACTTGCAATTGTACGCATTGTGGGCATACCAATCATATGGTTGATAAGTGTTAGGACAAGTTTGGTAAGCCTACTCAGGCAAACCAGTTTATTTACACAACTGACAGTGATGCCCTTTATCTGAATGGACCTAGTGATTGCCAACAACAGTCGGATTCTGGTAGTGACTTTGTTGTTCTTTCCCGAGAAGAACATAGTAAACTTGTCAAACAAGTACAACAGTATGGTTCCCTCTTCCTCTTTTACTGCCACCCCTACCAATTAGGTATTTCTGTGCTTCTTGCCTCTCAGAAACCCCCTCCCTGAGTTATTGACTAAGGAGCCTTTGATCACATTACTGGTGAGTCCTCTATTTTTATGTCTTTATACAAGTGTACTCCTAATTCTTTTGTTTCCACCGCTGATTGATCTCTATCCAATGTGTCAGGGAAGGGTACAATTTTGCGTACTTCTTCGCTTTCTTTGTCATCTGTACTATACGTTCTAAAGTTCCCTTTCAGTTTATTATTTGTAAGCAAATTAACCAAATTTCTTCACTGCTCTGTAACCTGTTATCCTTGTGTTTTTCAAGATTTGAAGATGAAGAGGACAGTTGGTGACGGGTATGAGTTAGGCAACTTGTACTACTTGGATCATAACTTGATTGGTGCTGCTCTTCACTTTGTTGATTCTCCTTTCTTATGGTTTTGTCGGCTGGGCCATCTTTCTCTTAATAAATTTAAGTTTTCCTTCTTTAAAGTTTGTATCTATTTTAGGGTGTGAAGCTTGTCAGTTAGGAAAGAATCACAGGGTCTCATTTCGTCCTAGAGTTGACAAACAAAATTTTGTTATGTTTACAATGCTCATTTTGATATATGGGGTCCAACTAGAGTACAAACTTTATCTGGTCATAGGTATTTTGTAACGTTCGTGGATGTTTATTCCTAAATGACATTGTTATAATTAATAAAAGAGGGATAATTAATAAAAGAGGCATTTGAATTTTTCTCCATTTTTAATTGTTTCACAAAGAGATCCAAACTCCATTCAATAAGAATGTATGTATTTTACATTCTGATAATGCTGAGTATCCTTCTGGAGAATTTTAGAATTGTTTTACTCAAAATGGGATTTTACACCAAACTTCTTGTCTGTGTACTCCTCAAAAGAATGGGGTTGTTGAAAGGAAAAATCAACACTTGCTTGAAGTAACTTGTTCTTTGGTCATTAATATGCAGGTTTCAAAGGTTTATTAAGGAGATGCCTTGTTGACCTCATGCTATTTATTTAATCATATGGCCTCTTTAGTCTTAAATAGAAAAAGCACCACACTCGGTTCTCTTTCTTGATGCTCAAGTGTTTATTGTTCCTCTTCGAGTGTTTAGGTGAGTTTGCTTTGTTCATATGTTAGGTACTGGTAATGATATATAGGAGTCCTGGGCTGTCAAGTGTGTCTTTCTTGAGTATTCATGTTTCCAGAAAGGTTATCATTGTTATCATTCTGGTTTACGAAAGAAATTTGTTTGTGCTAAATGTTACCTTTTCTGAGAATACTCGTCATTTTTCAGAAGAGAGTTGTGCGCTTAATTTAAATACTTTTATCGTGCTTTTGAAGATGTCTCATAGTCCTTGCCTTCTATGATTCCTCTTCTTATTCCTGTTGACACTTCTCCGTCATCCCAATTACCTGACTCCACTGAATTTAGTATATCTACACATCATGATGTTTCTCTGGAGCAGCCCATGAAGATTTATACCAGAAGAAAAATTCATGGACATTCCCACCAACTCATCAAACCACTTAATCATCATCTTTATCTACCGATCCACTTCCTTCTTGTGATGATGATGTACCTATTGCCATCCATTAAGGTATCAAGTCTTGTACTCAACATCCGACAACCTATTTTATTACCTTTACAAATTTGTCTCCATCATATCAAAGTTTTGCTTTAGCCCTTTCATCTATTTCTGTTACAAAGACCTATCAGGAAACACTTTCTCACACTTGGCAGAAGAGAGCAATGAAAGAGGAGATGGATGCACTTCATTCAAATGATACATGATAACTCACCATGTCACTAGCTGGAAAAAGGACTGTTGGGTGTCGATGGGTTTGTGGGGTCAAATATCAGCCTGATGACATGTAGAAAGATTAAAAGCCGTATTGGTAGCTAAGGGATACGCACAAACATTTGGCATTGACTACTTTGAAACATTTGCCCCTGTTGCTAAAGTTAATTTAATTCGAGTGGTTACATCTCTTGTTGCCAACAAGGGGTGGGCGTTGTGGCAACGTGATGTCAAGAATGCTTTCCTCCATGGTGATTTACAAGAAGAGGAGTACATGGAGCAATCGCCTGAGTTTGTGGCATAGGGGGACTCGGATTAAGTACATAAGTTGAAGAAAGCCATTTATGGCCTGAAACAATCTCCACGGGCATGGTTTAGAAAGTTCAGTGATGGCATATGGATTTCAGTGGTTATTTGGACACAGGACTCCAAAAAAATTGTTTTAGTTTGTCTATGTTGATGATATTGCTGCTGGCAGCGATGAAGAAGGAATTAGCCATTTGGAGAGATATCTAAAAAAATTGGTTCAAACTAAGAATTTAGGCTAGCTAAGGTATTTTCTAGGAATTGAAGTAGCCAGATCAACATTTGTTTGTCTCAAAGGAAATACACGTCTGATTTGTTGACAGGAATTGGAATGTTGGTTGCTAGAACGGGGGATATGCCTATGGAAGAAATTATTGGCTGATTAGAGGAAGTGTTTTAAGGATCTAGGAATGTACATAAGACTAGTAGGCAGGCTGATTTGTTAGACCATGACCAGGCGTGATATTTCTTTTGCAATAAGTATTGGGAGTCAATTTATGCATGCTCCTAGGATTTCTCACTAGGATGTTGTTCATAAAATTTTAAGGTATTTGAAGCAAGCCCTAGGGCGAGAGATTTGATTTATAAGCCAAATAATCATTTAACCATTGAATGCTACTCAGATGCTGATTGGATAGGGTCACCATCTAACAGGCGGTCTACCACATGTCATTGTATAATTATTGGTGGAAACTTGGTAAGATGGAGAAGCAAGAAACAAAATTTTGTGGCGAGATCTAAGTGTAGAGGCTGGCTAAAAAGCAATGGCGCATATTACATGTGATTTGATGTGGCTGAAAGCACTATGCATGATATGGGGCTTGCAATTGCTGAATAAGTGAATATGTATTGCTATAATAAAGTTGCTATCTATATAGCCAGTAATCTAGTGTTTCATGAAAGGACCCAGCATATTGAAGTAGATTGCTATTTTATCTGAGAGAGTTACTAGTAAGCAGGTGTCTATTCCATATTTGAAATGTAAGGATCAGTTGGCAGACATGTTCACCTAAGGCTTTCGTCATAATACATTCCAAACAATTTTTTCCAAGCTGGGCTGGGGCAACATTTATGCTCCAGCTTGAGGGGGAGTGTTAAAAATCTTTTGTTGTCTAAGTTCTAAGATCTAAGTGTCCTAAGTCTATTTCTATGGGCAGTTTTGTTTATAAAACTTTCTTTTAAATTATATGTAAGTTAAGAGGTGTGTGAGGGTTTGTTTTGAACCTCGCATCATTCTCTTCTCTCTCACATGTCTCGTCTTTCTCTCTCCTCTCTCTCACTTGTCTCTCGTATCTCTATCCTCTTTTCTTTTTCTCTTTTCTCTTTTCTCTATTCTCTCTCTAGATGCTCTGACACAAAGTATCTGTTTTTTCTAGTTTCCTGCTTCTGCTGCTTTAACGGGTTCCAACCACCCGACAACCACATGCTTGGACCTTCCCAAAAGTGGTAGTCTCGAGAAACTGTCTCATATCTTGGCTTTGTTCTTCATATTGTTGTAGAGGTCTTTGTACATATCTTGTCAGCATAGAGAACCTTGTTGCCAATGATTTCACTTCCACAATCGTCTTCTTAATTCCTTAATACTTTCACTTGAGCTGACTAAAAGGCCCATCTTGGTGTCTAATTTCTGTTAAGAGTCTGGCACTATGTCATTGCCTCAGTCAAACAGAAGAGGCCTCAGAAGAGGCCTCTACACCAGAGAAATACCCGTATGGTATGTACCCTTAAGATTTCACCTTTTCTTCGAAAATCTTGATGATTTATTGATGAATGCAAGTCTGCTTTGTGAAGATACTTTGGAAACGATATAGGTGAGATTTCTACAACCAAAACTTAGAGGTTCATATGACTTGTCTGCATTATGTTATTATTCTTAAAATGGTAGAAACACATACTTCTAACTACTCATCATCATGATCATCATCCAAGCCTTATCCAACTATTTGGGGTTTTCTATGCAAATCCTGTTTTGACAGTATAAGTAAAGGATTCATGAAAAGAAGTGACACAGTTTTATGTTGGTTGCCTACCTAACACAACCTTCCTCCTTTACCTGGGCTTGAGATCGGCATGGGAGGGGCCAAGGCGGAGTTACATACTAGTAAGTACTATCAGGATAGAATTTGTGACGTGCATTTCTGGACTAAAATTTAGTATATTTATTCCTGGTTTTCTTAGGGATGAAGATGCTCTTTTGATTCCCGTAACAGTAGCAATAATGAGAAGAATGGGGGAAGTAGTTGTGGCCATCTTTTGCTGCATAGATAGGTCTCTTTTCAAAAACGCTACCCCTATTTCAGGTATTTGATGGACTTGGTACTTAGGTGGGTCGATCAGGCTGAATCTAGCCAAAATTCTGACGGATCTCTTTTTGAAACTATTATTCACGGATACTTCAAAATGGGTTCTGTATGCGTGTTGGATACTTTAAAAGCATATGTATTATACAAATTATTATGTTGTAGCATCATCCACAGTCATATCTGTTTATCATATTTTGAAATTTATCCTAATTTTTTCACTTACATGCCGAATTGTTTCCTTTTGGCCCAGTCAGTGAAATAGAGCTTTGGCTATTAAAATATTATTCTTCACTGTTTACAAGTTTTCTATTTTCTTTGACATTAACTACTTAACTACTTGCTAAGTGATTTAGCAATTTAAGAGAGTGGGGGGGTGGGGGGGGGGGAAGAAAGAAAAAAACTGCTTGCTGAGTGATTTGGCAAACATTTAATTATTTTAATAGATTTGCATATCATATAGGAACTATGCACAGGAGTACTGCAATTCAAGGTTGCATTCTGATTGTAATGGGTTGCTGTTGGTTGCAAATAGTTGGCTGAACAAATTGGTGTGTGCTGAAATGAAGTTATCTTGTTTCTGAGTGATAAGTGTTCATTCTGAGATGTCCTCATTTGAGTTTCTGTGAGATGTTCTAAGGACAAAGTTTTGAAAACAGGCTAACTGTGAAAACTCCGCTTGCAGTTGAGCCATCTCAAGCTGAATTGAGTTGTGTCTCAACTCCCTACAAAGGAAGGGGTATGACTTCAAAAAGTGACATTCTTCCGGGTTGTATGATTCATTCTGAAGAGCCAATTGCTGCGGTATGCATTACATTTTCTTTCATCTCTAGTATCACAAATTTATGGTCTATGTAATTGTTTGCACAAGCGTGGCACTGAAAGATACTGAGCTGTCTGATTGATATGCACACATATAGTTGTACACTAGGTTGGACTTATTGCTTGCAAACAACTGCTGAACTTCAAAAACTTCATTGCCTATGAATAAATGGTATCTTTCGCAATCACATATCTAAAAGAATTACTTGCTTCTTTCTACATTTGCCATGGTTGTGCAAGAGAAGAGTATCTCCAAGTCCTTGTGTGCAATTTACGCTTCCTTGCAATCTCAGTATTAAAGAAAATTTTATGATGTAATATTTATGTCTACCTGTTCCATGGATTTTCTTTGGTACAAGGTTATGGTGGAAATTGGAATTTATCATTGTTGACCTAATTGCTCATTCTTTGTATTGTAATCTGAGAAGCAGGCTTCTGGAACTTCCTTCACATGTAATTTTGCTACCTGAGACTAGCTATATTCTTCCTTTTTTCCTCTTCACTATTTTGGATTTTAAAAGGGACCTGATTATGGTGTTAGTATGATTAAAATTATAAATGTGATTGCATTAGTGTGCATTTATTTGAAGAATTGATGCTATTTTGTCTTTTACAATACTATCCTTCTTAACATTGGCAGTTTATTTCCAGATAATATTGAAGCACTGTAGGGAGGCGCATTGCCATTTCTGCTTCATGGAACTACCAGCAGATACTATACCCTGTTCATCTTGTACAATACCATTATACTGCTCTGACCATTGCCTAGAGAAAGCAAGTGGAAAACAGCCTGAACGTAAGCAGATCAATGTCCAAGATGCCATCGAGATCAACTTATCTATGAATGCAAAAAAAGAGGATTTTGCTGGTGTATCCGAACATGGACATGAATGCGGAGGTGTACACTGGCCTGCAATTTTACCAGTTGACGTCGTTCTAGCAGGTCGTATTTTGGTGAAGTGCTTAGAGAGACAAAAGTATTTAGGGGGGAGCTTTGATATAATAACAGAATTGGTACTATATGTTTTTTATCTGTGTTCTTTTATTCATTTGGGAAATCTAAAATAATAACCGAGTGATTGTTGTTTCTCATGTTTTGTAGGGGCTTTGTCACAATTATAGCTCATTGCCATCAGAAAGCAAAGTGGAGTTGCACATATACTCCGTTGTGCTTGCGTACTGTCTTCAGAAGTCATATGCTTCTTTAGTCCCATTCACAGGACCCTCAGTTTCACAGGTATTTTTCTTCTCTTTTGAATGAGAATGTGTTTGATACCTTGAAATTTGTTCGAAATTATAATTAAAGGAATGAATCGGGAGCAATATCAAGGCAGAAACTGCTTCCTAGTTCCAGCATTGTGGATGTTGAAGGAATATTAGCATGACTGAGCCTTGTTGAAGTTTGTTACTGTTTAAGATGTTTTATAACATTCTCTGAGGGAAGTATTGTATACATCACAATTATAACCATTTGTACCAGATTGACATGGCTTCCAAATGTTTGAGATAGTAGATGACTTTGTATTTTTGCATTATTGACACAAAATCCTACTAATACCGCTATGATGCAGGAAAATAAAGAAAAGAAGCAAAAATAGTTAAATAAACCATAAAAACAGCCAGATTTGAGTAGATCTGGCTTTCCTTGGACAAAAAAGAGATCCCAAAACCCTAGATATAGCTTGCTGGTAATGTTCACACTTTGTTTTTAGTGTTCACACCCCAAAAGTGCTAGAATTCTTAATATTGCAAGCTCTTTTATTCATCATCATCATCATCAGAGCCTTTTCCCAACTATTTGGGGTCAATGCACAAATCCTGATCCGCCATTCTGCTCTATCAAGGCCCATACCTACAGTGAGACCACAAGTCCCCAAGCCTTTTTATAATATTATAATAAAAAAGACTAAAGCTACCCCTACTTCAAACATTATAAAAATACACCATAAGTTCTTTCACTTAAAAGAAAATTCGTAACGACACCTTTACCCCTAATAAAACAAATAATTCCATAAGTATTCTAACCCCCTTGCTAAGCACCTCCTAAAATCCTAAAACGTATAAAAATCCTAGAATCTAAACTCGAAAAAATAATCCTAGAAATCATAGTTTTAAAAAGCGGACCGCCCAGCGCCTAGGCGGTCGCCTAGGCCTGGGTGTATCGCCCAAGCCTAGGCGTCCAAATTAGGTGGATATCCCAGGGCCTACGGAAATGCGGCTCCTTGAGGGTATTTTTGGGTCATTTTTTTGATACTAAAGGGGAAAAATTGTGGGTTTTAGGTTCATTTGAAATCTAAAACCCATTAGAGGCTATTTTATAGAGAGAAAACCCAAAAAAAAAAAAAACTTTACTTTTATTAGATCGCCCAGGTTTGGGCGCTCACTTAGGCGCTAGGCGGCCTGGAACCCCGCGACCGCCTAGGTGCCATCTAGCGCTGCTAGAAAGTTCCAAAAATGCATCATTAAAATTTTGGAAAAGTTTATATAGAGTTGAGGCTCTAAACAATCAAATTGGAGCCTACTTCAAAAATTTCACTAGAAGAGGTTGTTTTAATGCCTAAATTTCCCTAAATTGATCATCTTGATATCAAGATGCATGGACTTGAGGAAAAAAAAGGATTTCAAGATTTGAAAATAATGTATTTTGTAACGCATTTGTGGACCGTCAATTTTCAAGATTTTCAAGTTTTCATAGATCTGTCAATCTACATTATTTTTTAAGCTCTAAAATTAATAAATAAAGATGGAAATATATTTTAAGGCTATCACATTGATTTCCAGTATTGAAACCACATTACTCGACACTATTTGAAGGTAGGCTCCAATTTGATTGTTTAGAGCCTAGGCTCTCTACAAACAGTACCCTTAAAATTTAGGTATTTTTTTAAAAAATCCTTACTACATTCTACTTTTAAGACATTGGACTTATTGAAAACTTAATTTTGACTTTGGATTCTCTCCTTTTCGCAAGGGACAAATGGCCTATTTTGGCCCCCCTTTTAGAAACACATTCCTAGTCTCATTTTTTCCCATTTTGCATGATTTTTCCCATGGTTTCTTCCCACCCTTGTGTCTATCTTTCTAAAAGCTTATTTTCTAAGCTCTTCTCTCCCACATTCTCTCTCTAATAATTCAATTCATTATTCAATCTTTCACATTCTCTCTCTAAACACCCGACATGTTCTCCCCCGTTATCACATTTTGTCTAGAAACCCAATCCAATTTTTGTCTCACATATTCTTTCTCTTGAACTAATCTCATTTTTGCCACCAATTACATTTTCTCTTTAGAAACTGAACCCCATTCTCGCCCCTTCTCATATTCTCTCTCTAGAAACCCAATCTCATTTTTGCCTCCACTCACATTCTCTCTCCCTACCCCAACCCCATTTTTGGCTCTTCACTTACATTCTCTCTCCCTACCCCAACCCCATTCTTGGCTCTTCGCACATATTTTAAAGAAAGAATGTGAGAGAATGTGAGAGAAGGGAAGAATGTATTGGTTTTTCAAATAGAGAATGTGAGAGGGAAAAAACCATGGGAAAAAATGAGAGATTGTTGGGTTTTGTGGCCTTTAAGGCATAGAGAGCTTGTAAAAAAGATAATTTATAGTGGAATATACACTTCAGTGGGAGTATTTATGTTGACTGACCATGGGTTGGGCGATTTATGGCCTTGGTTATGCCAAAAATCCCTTACCCTTGGGCATGTCGCATTACCTATAAGGGTTTACAGTGGGTCATCCCCTGTTGAGTTCGGAGAGATGTCCAGGGATGATGTTTGTAGGCTAGGAGAACTGTTTGGACTCTTGTGTGCGGTTGTAGGCCTGTTAGAGCAAGGGGCAAAGCCTCGACGACCTTTCGCACGACATGTACATATGACAACTGCATTGTTGGGTAGGAGCCTTGTAGAGGGACACATGTGCATGTTCATAGAGAGAGAGCTCCCTTTGCACTGTAGTGACAAGTGCTGGACTTGCTCTTAAAGGGGGTGACTGAAATTCACATTCCATGATCATGGTTCCACTGTTTATTGTCCACAATTTTGACAAGCCAATCATGAGCCCCTGGATCGAGACTGTGGGTCATTGGTCGTTGTTGGGTTGGACAAGAAAAATGTAGTGGATCATGGTCCTTGTGTCAAGTGGAGTGCCCTTATTGTCGCTACTTTTGACCTATTCGTACCAGTTCACTTCTAAAATATTTTATTCTGGTATTACAAATGTTCTTATGATTTTTTAATATTTTTCAGAATTTTAAAAATTTATTTCTACTGTAAAATCCTTCAAAAGGGCATTTTCTTAATTTTTGAAAGGCAAAAGTTTATATAAGGATGCTATCTTATAATGTAGAACTACGAATGCCCCTCAAAAATCCATCGGAAAAGGTAGTTTTAATGTTGAAAAACCCTTTGATTGATCATCTCGACATTGAGATGTATGAGTATGAAAAATAAAAAGATTTTAAGTCTCAGAAATAGTGCATTTTACAACATATTATCTACATCGTCCATTTTTAAGATTTTCATATGTTTATAGATCTACTTGATTTTAACCATTTTTTAAATTTAAAATTTTATAATTTGATATAAAAATAGATTTTGAGATAATCCTAAGAACATTTTACATCAAAATTATATACCATGATGAAATTTGAAAGTGCACCTTACCTCCACACCTACAGATGCATCCGTATGCAAACTCCAGCCTTTTTGAAATTTGGAAGGATGGGGCCCAGGATCCAGCTCCACATGTGTGCCATCCATGAGTGGGTCATGGGCCATTGTGGGGACCACTTAATCTCTCTTGGGTGGCACCCCCGCTTTCTTTTATTTACGTGACATTTCTTTTTTGTTAAAGGTTATTTTAAGGGAATCTTTTTAATATTAAACGATTGTTTTAATTAGGAGTTTGGGGAATCTTTTTAATATTAAACGATTGTTTTAATTAGGAGTTTGGTTTGATCAAAACTCTAATTATATTGACTTCTTACAACTTTTAGAAAGATATCAAGAAGTTTTGGATTGGTTATAATTCTAATTTAAATAGAAGTTGGACTTTTTTGTCAAATTGGGGTAATGTTCCTAATAATCCTCCTAAAATCATGATGGCTGATTTGTGGTATGGATGGCTCGGATTTGTTCTCTCTCCCCTCATAGATTTCCTAAGTTCCTATTTATCAAGCTGTGTCATTGGATAAGCAATACCTAAGGAAGGAATTCTAACTTAAATAGGTGAAGAAATTCTTTGTATTTAAATACCATTGAGCCCCTCACTCACAAAACGCATATTTCTCTCTCCTCCATGCACTAAGTCTCTCTCCCTCTCATTAAAAATTCATTTTTTCTCTCTCCTTCATGCACCAAGTCTCTCTTTCTCTCTCTCATATTAAAAATTCATTTTTTCTTTCTCCCCCCTTCCAAAAAGGGTCATGCCACCCAAAAATTGATAAGACAGGGGTGGCATATTGAAACCCTATAGGGTTTTGCTGTTTGGAGAAGAAAAAAGGGTATGCCCAACCATAGGAGGATTCTATACCTTCAAGCGCAGCCCTAATTTATGCCTAAGGGTTCCTACAAACTCTAGTTAGGTTTTCATACTCTCTAAAACCCTAGAGTAAGAGATATTGCCAATGAAAGCTTCATATCTCTGAAATTCCAGCAAGATCAAAATGGACAAAAGAGCACCACTGGTCAGGGAATCGGGTGTGGGGTTGATCAAGACTTGTGAGGGAATATATATTGTACTTAATACTATAGTGGTAGATTGTTTATTGCACCTGTTAGGTTTTTATTTGCTTTGGCAGTAAAAGTAAAGATCTTAGGTTGTATTTAGGGTTTTAAATTAATTTACGGCAGTATATAGTGGCTCATGTAAGTGGAATTTAGGTATATTGAATAAAAGAAGTTTTTTTCAATTTAATACCTTGAGTTCCACATTGCCACTCCTTTCAGAGATGAAAGCTTTAAGATATTGTTTTTAAAAGGGGCAAATCGTTCTATTTACCCCTCTAAAAAGTGGGAGGGCCAAAGTCAAAAACAAAATCTCAAGAGGTCTCATTTCTTGAAATAAAATTTTTACAAGGCTTTTCTCTTAAAATTTAATAGAAAATTTTAAAAATAAGAGGCATCTTTTCTTGCATCATTCTCACCTACTTGGAGAAAAGTCATCATCAAGTTAGTTTTGAAATAAGCTAAGATGAATTTGGTGTTAAACATGCAACCTTCTTCTATTGGAATATTGAAAATACGATCCTGGGACTTGTGAGTTATCAAAATACAATGGTTGTGCACTGAAACTGCATATTTGCATTCGGTTGATATATCCATAAACAATTTAGAGAGTCCCTTGAGAAAAGGGTTACACTTGGTTCATTCACATTAACTAGCTCGAATTGCATCTGTACAGCCGTTAGTTCAGCCCTATACATACACTACCATGTGTGCATCTTTGAGATGAGCATTGGATTCAATAGTTGAACCAACTTCACCTATTGATGCTCCTTTGAGTCCATCTTTTTCTTCGTCAAATATCAGTTCTACCATCAAATCTTGTTCTTCATCATAGATCAGATCTCCTATAAGATCTTGGTCTTCATCTATATATGTATCGAAGATTGGTGGTAGAACCTAATCTACAACCTGCTGATTTTCGATACAGCTTGCACCAAAATGAATAATATCCACCTTCAAATAAAAAACCCTAGATTAATGTTCCCCACTTCTAGGTCTTCTATCACTTTCCTCTTCGCTCGATTCTTCACTCGGAGCGCGGAGGTGAAAAGCATCGTATTCGACATCTTCTTGGGCTTAAAGATCACCGTCTTGCCTATGAACGATATCACGAACAGCTCCATCAGCTGCTGAACTTGTCTTTTTAAGTTCCTCAATTTCTTCATCTCTGGGATAATGAAGTGGATCTGCGAAACCCCCCCTTCGATGATCCCTTCTCTTTGCCATGGGTTTTCCAAAATCACAAATCCAAGGTAGATAATCAACAAAAACTTATTGAAAACAACAAGATCTAAGTTGATTTGCCAAAACTTAGCCCAAAATAGCAAACCCTAGGCTTGATTGTAGTTTCCCAACTTTGTTGTTGAAGAAAACATAGGTTCTGATAAGATTTTGATGCAGGAGAATAGAGAAAAGAGACAAAAACTGTTCAATAAACCATCAAAACAAGCCTGATTTGAGTGCATTTGGCTTTTCTTGTACAAAAAAGAGATCCTTAAACCCTAAATAGGGCTTGTTGGTCCTGTTCACACCCCAAAAGCGTTAGGACTATAGCACCCCGGGCCCTTTTGTTTCATTATAATGAAATAAAGACCTAAACTAGCCTCACTTAATGAAAACTTTATAAAAATACCCCATGTTCATTCTCTCAAAAGATTATTTGTAATGACACTTTTACTCCTAATAACAAGTACTTTCATAAATAGTTTAACCACTTCTCTAACATCTTCTAAAACCCTAAAAGATATAAAAAATCCTAGAATCCCTAAAAAAATGTAGAAACTCTAAAAACAATAGCCCTAGAAAATTCCAAAAATACATCTCCTAAAATTTAATATGAAAAATTTTAAAATAAGAGGCATCTTTTCTTACATCATACTGTTGCTACTATTGTTATCTTACTCGGTGCTTTAAAACTCAGTCTAGTTGACTCGGACTTGGCATGGTGCTGAGGTGAGTTCAGGTGTACAGGCTCGGGGGTTTAGGAACTTGTACAATACTCGGGCGAGTATTGTACGCACTTACCCAACTGATGTAGAATGTAGCAAACTTGCCCGAGTTCTATAGCACTTGGGCAAGTCTATACAGTATGAGCCCGAATACTATATATACTACAACTTAGAATAGAATGGGAGCAATGGCTCCTTATTTCTCATTTTCATCGAAGATTGATGCCTACAAACCGCACATCTTGATCCAAATTTAAGTATAAGTTAGAAAATCACTTGATCTATTGGCTAGAAACCTAATTTTTTTCAAAATTAGGTTCATCACATTTCGTGGATCGAAGAATTGGGCAAATATTTTACCTAGTTTGAACATCTTTGATTTCTTTGTTTTAAATGGTTGGTCTTCAATTAAAATTGGGCCCTATGCCTAACTTTGTGATCTTGGTTTGCCCATAGGCTAATTCCCCCAAACCGCCCCCTCCCCCCCAAAAAAAAGATTTTGTAGTTTTGATCCAAAATTTGTTTGGGGGTTTTGATTGGGACTACAAGAAGCTTCGGCAAGGATTCGAAGCCTCAATCTCTGAGCACAAAGACGCAGAAATCATCGTTGAATTTCAAGTATTACATGTTTTCAAATTAAATTCATTAAACATAATTGTTTAGTAATTCAATTATAACTGATTTATAATTTGTTTTATATGTAATTTTATGTTTTTATGATTTCTTTTCCTTTTCTTCATTTTTCCATTTTTAAATATTTTAAATATTGCTTTACAAGCCAATAACACCAAAAATTTTTATTCCGTGTTTTATATACATTTCACGGTTTAGTATTTTTTTGGGATTTTTATGAATATTTTTATTTTTTTGGATTTTCATCATTCTTTACATTTTTTCATTTTTTTTGGGCCTCTCTTCAGGCTCAGGCAGGACTCAGGTGAGTCCTAGCTGCTGGGTGACTCGGCAAGGAAAAGGGTTGATCGCAGATTCCAAGCCGAGTTCTTGTTCATTGATCGTACAACTGCTACTGCTGTTTCTACTGAAGCTACTGCTTCTGCTGCTGCTGCTGATCATCAACAACAACAACTACAATAAGAGTAATAATAATAACATGATAATGCATGTCTAAATCGCAAACAAGTTAACACTGCATTTCAACTCCTACATCTCTTTTCTATTTTGTTGTCCTTGAAAGTTATTTTCTTGGATATGTTTTTAGTAATAATAATAATAATAACAATCATAATGCATGTCTAGGTTGCAAACAAGTGAAAACTGCGCTTCAACTCGTATAACACTTTTCTATTTGGTTGTCCTTGAAAGTTATTTGCTTGGATATGTTTTAACTTGTTTTTCGTTGGTCTCTGATGATAGCTGCACTTGGCTTAGTTTTGGATTCATCAATGATTTCTGTTTGTATAAATGCAGAAGGCATTGGATCTTGCACAATTTTACCTTGCTTGTACAAGCCATTGACCTTAGTCACAATAACTTCAGCTTAATGAATTTTAATTTGCTTGCTGCATTTTTTACATCCCTACTTTATGCTATGGCCGAGAATTTCCCTGGTTGACACCTTGAGGATTGCTATTATCAAGCAGCAGTATTTATTTAGTCTTGTGTGGTTTTTCTATCAATTTTTTACCGCTAATTAATTGAATGAAAACAACATGTGAATAAGAAATAATTTCTTTTGTGTATATTTCCTTTATATAGTTTGTATTCCATGTTGAGCCATCAACTCTTCTTGTGCTATCCTATACTAAGGTATTCTCTTTTCCAGTTGATTGTACTTGTTTGTCAAATCAGGGTGAATTCTATGGCAATTGTTTGCATGAAATCGTTTGATGCTTCTGATGAACTGAGAAATATGGGGAAACTGACATTTAAGAAGGATGCTTTAACATCTAGTGTGGAACAGGTATGTACATAGTTTGCTTCCCACATTTTGGTGTCAGGCTGTTCCTAATCGTAGAATTCACTATGATTATAATGAAATTTGTAGCATTAGGTTGATCTTGTATCCAGTGTACTTCAATGAATTAATTTTGTTCACTACAATTGGTTTTTCTTGAGTGTAGTTCACTACTTCTACATGGCATTCAATTTTGATTAATGAAATAGTTTTAAGGACGGTTTATTCACTTGTTATCTAGAGATGCCAAACTTGCTTTATGATTACAAGTATTGGATTGTCTACCAGAGTACTAGAATTTTCAACTGGATGTAGAATATTCGCCTTGTTTGTTGTTATCTACAGGAATGTTAATTTATTATGTTGCATTTTTATTTGAGTTCCAGAAACAGCATTTCTTTTGGGTAGAAAACATTCAATATGCATCTTGCCTAAGCATTGCCATCAACCAGTTTTTTTACTTCTTTTTTTCTTTTCTGGGTTTATTAGAGAACTGCATTTACTTTATTTGTTTATAATGAGTCATGAAATGAAAGAGGAGTGGTATATGCATTGATTGTTTCTGACTGTTACTGGCAGAATAGGTCAGAGTGGGGCAAGCAATTTATTTAAGGGGCAGTTTGTTCAATCATTCTTGTGAGCCAAATATTCACGCCTATTTTGTTTCACGGACACTTTTTCTACGTTCAATAGAGCAAATACCTGCAGGGTCATCAGTTGAACTATCCTATGGTCCGCAGGTAAAATTTTTGGAAAATATCAAAATAGTGGCTGCAAGACTTGCAAGAATGTGGTTGTGCTCCAAAAATTTGGAATCTCAAAAAGTTGCCAAGATGGTTCAAAATTTCTGACTATTTGACCCTGACTTATTAAATGCATTTTTCTAAATTTTCCTGACTTATTTGGTATTTTTTTTCAACAAAAGATGGGGTTGATCCAAGCACTATCTTGATATTCCAAGTTTCTGGACTATGTTCAGGATTTATGTGGTTGTTCCAAAAACGAGTTTTGTAACTTTCCTAATCTTTTTTTTAGATGTCATGATGTAATTAGTATTCTACTTATTGGGGAATGGACCCTTTGCTTGGTTTTGCAGATTGGTGAATGGGACCTTGCGCAGAGGCAGTTGTCACTGGAGAATAAATATTCATTCATGTGTCAATGCAGTGGCTGTTCCGAATTGAACCTTTCTGATCTTGTTTTGCATGGATTTCGGTGCGCCAAAGCGGATTGTTATGGTGCAGTCTTAAATTCACCAGTGGTCAGGCATAGGAAATTAGTTGGCAATTGCTTGCAAACCATTGTGAAGATTTCTCGCTGGGAGCTTGCTCTGCCAGTATGTTTCATCTTACCGTTACATCACATGCTTTTTCTTTCTTGCATGGTTATATGGTTATATGTTTCTTTCTTGCATGGTTTTGTGGGTCTTATGAAAACATCTTTGATGAGTAACACGCAGGTTTGAATTTAAGTGAAGTACATTACAATCCAATGAACTGTGGAGAATGTGTCAGCCACTGAGTCATCTCTGTAATTGGGACCCACCATTATGGATTGTGATTGGGATCCACTAGATTGGATGTGACCTAAATGGTGGTCCTGCTTTCTCTCTGTCACCGTAAAATATTTTGACACCCAATGGACAATATAGTTTCCACAGTCCTTTGGTTTACAGTGTCCTTGCGGTTGATTTGACAATGGAAAAGCTCTTTGTATCCCTACAGGAAGGGAAGAAGAAAAGAAAAGCCATTAGTAAAGTGGCTCGCCAACTGTTGGAAGAAACTGATGGCTTATTTCATATAGATCCTGGATATTGTTTACGATGTGGATCCTTTCATGATTTAGAATCAGCTGGTGTATCACTGAAGAAGATTACAGCTGGCCTTGAAAGGTTTGTAGTCACTATAGAATCATTGTCTTTTTTGTTCTAATGAAAAAAGTCATCATTTACATTTTTTGAAAATTCTCATTTGAGTTCTCCATTTCTTCATAGGATCATTTACATTTTTTCAAAATTATCATTTGAGTTCTTCATTTCTTCACAGCGCCTTTTGACTTTTAGCTGCCTTGCAAAAGGAAAAAAGAACTCATATTGATATTGCTTCTGGATCAGTTTTTGAAATTGTTAGAACTTTGAATGGGCTTATATTTAATTTTCGGAAAAAGTTTATATAGAGCCAAGGCTCTAAACAATCAAATTAGAGCCCAGCTCAAAAATTTAACTAGAAGAGAAAAAAACTATCCTCAAATTGATCATCTCGACATCAAGATGCACGGACATGAGAAAAAAATGGATTTCAAGGTTTGGAAATAGTGCATCTTGTAACGCATTTTTGGACCATCAATTTGCAAGATTTTCAAATTTTCATAGATCTGCTCGATCTACACTATTTTTGAAGCTTTAAATTTTATAATTAAAGATAAAAATATATTTTAAGGCTATCACAAAGATTTCCAGTATTAAAATGACATTTCTCGACAATATTTAAAGGTGTGCTCTACTTTGATTGTTTAGAGCCTCGGCTCTATACAAACCGCACCCTTAATTTTTTGGTGGTCTTGACATTTATTTTTTATTTTTTATTTTTTGTGGTCTTGACATTTTGTGAATCATATATTATGGTACCGTACCCTTAATTTTTTGGTGGTCTTGACATTTTTTTTTTTTCCTGAAGTTGTGGTCATGACATTTTGTGAATCATATATTATGGTGCAATACTTATACTGAGCACATATATGGCAGTCCCACAGGACTAGATTGTATAATTGATACTGCAGCCAAGCCATCTACTTTGACAAGTTCTATGACCAATTTTGTTTTTTACCTCTCTAATTACCGGGCTTCAACTTAGTGGTAGACATCATTTTGGGTGAGGGAGGTCAAGAGTTCGAACCTTTGAAGTTTGCCCCAAAAATCCCAAAAAGCTAATCTAGCCTTCTTTTTATGACCTGAAAATTTTCAAATTCCTATGACTCACCTGGCGATCAGTAAAAAAAAGAAATAATCATAATACTAATAATGAGTTGGAGGCTTGGAGCTCAAAATTCGCCAGATCTGGCATCCAACATGATGGTCCAAATCCAATCTTGGGAGGGGATATTTGTGTGAGGCATTTTCTCACCTCGAAATCAATTTCTTTTGTGGAAATTAATTTTAGAGGGGGATTGAGTTGATTTGGGAGTTTTGGGGTCCTAGAAATCCCCCTAAATAGGTGACGTGCAAGGCCAAATATACAACTTGGTCCAGCTGGACCATCTAATCCTTTTCCACACTGATATCTCACAACTTTTGGGTTACTGTTATGTGTCTTTAAGTCTCAACCAGATCTTGAGACTCTTGTATGTGACACTAGTTTGCTTCTTGATTCTCTATAGGTTGTGGGATTTGAATGGTTCGAAAGATTTAATTTCCAATGGCTTGAGACATCTGGAACTATTGAGGTCTACAATGCATCCATACAGTAAGGACATTGCAGAGGTATGCTCTAAGTGTGTTTGGTTCTTGGAAGCTGGTAGCTTTGTGGAGTTGAAAAGCTATTTTCATAACCTGTTGAAACTGAACATGATTTACACTTTCAAAGTGAACACTCACTAGTTATTTTCCTTGGGAATCTTCTATTTTCTGTCAATATTTTCAGGAAAAGGATTGCATAGCAGTGATGACACTGCTAAACCTTCCCAGACCTCTAAACTGGAAATAACCCATTGAATGTGTTTTGTTGCACTCCTGGAATTTTAAGTTTTCCATTATAAATGATTTTACTTTGGGGTTTAGGATTTAAGATTTAGGGTGGGCTTGAGTGGTTAGCAGCTGACGATTAGCAGTGCTACAGCACAATTTTGATTCCTACCATTAAACTACCAAAAAAAAAAACAAAGAATTGTACTTTGCATATTATTACTAACATCCTCTTCTTCTCCTTTTATTCCCTCTTTCTGTTTCCTTTTTTTTTGATACCAATGCTATGTATAATAATGCTGTTAGTATGGTTTGGCAGGCTGAGGATAAATTGGCCGAGGCATTTTGTTCAGTTGGAGAACCTCATTCTGCCATGGACCATTGCAAAGCATCCATACAGGTAGTAGACTCATTAGTCAAACTCCCTATCTGAGATGTTTTCCCCTTCCAAAGCAGTTGAAGTTGATGCATGATCATGGTAGGCAATAGGGCTACACCTTCTGAAAAAATGGGATCCACCTTGCAAATATATGTCTTGGTTATTTTTAGAAAGGGAAAAAAATGGAAATTTTATTACCTGATTTCTGAGATCTTTGGGACCCTGATCCACCTTGCAAATATGTCTTTGTTATTTTAGAAAGGGAAAAAAAATGGAAATTTCATTACCTGATTCTGAGATCTTTGTGAAGGGTCCCCATTCTGCCATTTCAGACAGTTCAATATATTTAGTTAACTACTCTCCTCCGTCCACCCGACCCCACTCACTCACCCCACCTCTCTCTTCTCTCTCTCTCTCTCTCTCTCTCTCTCTCTCTCTTCCTCTTAGAAACTAAAGTTTCATGTGACCATTCAAATGTTTTGCAGCTCAAATTAAACTGTGTTCATTCATCATTCTTCTTTTTCCCAAATTCATATTGTCTTTTCATTTGATGACAGATCCTTGAAAAGCTTTATCCGCAGAACCACATTGCCATTGCAAATGAGTTGATTAAGTTGGCCTCCATTCAGATCTCTTTGATCCATCCTATGGCCGCCAAATGCACTGTGGACCGGGTCGATAAAATATTGACCTTGCACTATGGATCCCACTACTCAAAACTATTCCCATATGTGCAAGGCTTCAGAAAAGAAGTCTATCAAACCCTCCAAGAGCCTATCCCATAATTGCAGATTGATCCAGTTTTATTTTAAGATTGGTAATTTTTCTCCTTTAGCCACTAGTTGCATTCTTTAATTTTTCAATTATCAGTAGAAAATAACTTTTGAGTTTCCCCTTCCGTAAGGTGTAATCCTGTTCTACTGTTTGATAAGTTAGTGGTGGGGGCGTAATCTTGTTTATCATTTAAGGTTGTGAAGATTAGTAAAGAAGCAAAATCTTGGATTTGATGGGAGCTATGATTGGAGACTATGACCAGGCAAAGTACGTCCAAAGCAACAACAGATTTCCAAGGTGTTTTTTTCTGGAGATTTACTCTTTGAGTTAGTGGAAATTTTCTATTCATTTAAGAGATTTCCAAGGTATTGGCATACCTTGCAAGTTATAAAGCCGTTCGACCTTGAGATGCATAGATATAGAGAAGAAAAATAATTTGAAGTCTTAAAAATAGTGCATTTTGTAACAAGTTATCTAGATCATTATTTTAGGATTTTTAAATGTTTATAGATCTGATTGATCTCTATCATTTCTGAATTTTTAAATTTCATAATTAGGATTGAACATGGATTTTCAAGTTATCTTAAGGTTTCCGGGACTAGAATTTTATCTTTCGACAAAATTTAAAGGTGCACCTTACTTGTATGGTATAAAGTGGGCACCTTATACAAATAACCTTTTTTTTTTCCTCATGTTTTTCACTTTTGAGCTATGGTATACTCCCATGAGAGTATATATTGTGCATGTACTCTCTTAACCCAAAGACCCACGTGGGAGGTTTTGTTTAATTTGAAATTTTGGGAACAAATTAAAATCACTGGATTATTATTTTCAAAATGAAAAAAAATTGAATTCTGGATTTTTTGACATTTAGATCTAGCCCATCAGAAATTGTGTTTAATATTAAGACAATATTTCTTTGTAGTAGATAGAGAGTTCAATTTGGAAATTTTCTTTCTACTGGCTGAAGAGGTTACATCTTGAAATTTGGGGGTTTAAGTGAGAGAGAGAGAATTTGAATCATAGAGTTAAATCCAGAAATTTGGCAAAAAGGGAGATAGTTAACTTCGGATGTTGATTAGGTGCAAATTTGATAGTCGGTTTTGTTAAAAAAGGATCAGAGTAGAGAGAGAGAGAGAGAGAGAGAGAGTGGTTTTAGAGACCAGTTCGAGCTTATGGCTTGAAGGAACTAGCATTTATTGTGAATTAGGATTTCCTTTGTTTGTGGGTTTTCCTTGGTTTTCTGGAGATGTTGAGATGGGGGTGAAAGATTTGCAAGTATATGCAATTCTCAGGTGTTTTTATTGATGTTTCTTATGATTTTTGATGGTTTCCTTCATTTTGAGTTGCAGACAAGAAGGGGTGTGAGGGGGGTTCCACGAATCTACAACTTGCTTTCTTTTCTTTTTTTTTCTTTTCTTTGTTCTCTTTTTTATGGTACTTTTTCCGGGAGTTGTAAATTTAGGTTTTACAAATATTTTCTTTAATTTTTGGTGGATTTTTTCCTTGTGATTTGTACAGGAGGGGGTGAGAGAGTTTCAGAAAGTGTAATCGATGGTTTTAATCTTTTCTTTCAGCTTCTTATTGTACTTTTGCTTAAGGGTACTCTTCTTTTCTAACAACGAATCAAACAATTCTGGTGATTATACTTAAAGAGAAGAAAATTAAAGGAAAATCTAAATAAGCATAAAAGACATCTCTCATATTTCTGAACTAGTGAAGCCCAAATAGATTTACATGGACCAGGTCACTCAAGAAGCTTAGAAGAAACCTTTTCCCAAATGACCATCCTTACTTCACCGCTTGAAAACATTTGATTTTAATGTAGACAGATTTCTATTTATACTATCAAAGATTTTTCTATTTCTTTCTTTTCACACACTTCAAAGAATGTTAATCCAAATGGATCTCCAAAGAACAATTTCTATTTATGAAATATTGGGTGTGATCCATTGATCAAGAAGAGTTATGACATTGTAGGGCAATGGTAATGACAGTTTGAGGCACAGTCGAGCTAAATCTCAAAGATATGTAACAAAAGGGCATGAAAGGAAAAGATGTGAAGTTTCATCTTTGTATGGAATACATACATTGGTTATAATAAACCTCATTTTCTCAAGTTGTCAACAGTTGCTAATTTATCTTGGTATATGATCCGTAAGAATAGTTGCACCTTAAAAGCACATGCAATTTTTTATTTTTGAATAAGCCAGCATCCAACTCTCTCCAATGATCAGAAAATTAGATTGTTGGTTGATTTAATTGAAAAATCTCCCAAAGGGGTAAGATCCCAAATAAAGCCGTTATCCATATTTGGAGTCAAATATGTGTCATTCAATACTTTCAACGATGTTTGATACTTTTCAATAAATCTGTTTGTACCTCTTCTGTACTTGTAAAGAATGGATTAAACAATATTAGTATAAACACCTCCACTAGCCTCTTTGACAGATGTTAGTGGGTTTAAAGCGTTTGAGAAAACCTCAAGGAAAAGGTATCTCAACGGGTCATCTCTAATCTATTTGTCAAACCAAGAGAGAGTGGATTCTCCATCCCCAACTATTTTTCAAAATAGTCGTCGATACACAGTTCTTTAATAGTCAATCTCTCTCCAAACATAGGATACATGTCTTGTTTTTTGAACTTTTATTGAGGTAAAAAATCAAATTTATTCTATATTTATCTCTCAGAACAAGCACCCAAAAAGACTCAGGTTATGTATGGATCTTCCACCACCTTTTTACTAAAAGTGTTGAGTTCATGTGTTTCAATCTATTAATACCCAATCCTCTCTTTTTCATTAGTCTACAAACTTTTTTCCAACTCATACGATGAAATCTTTTCCTTTTTATGTCATCTCCCTACAAGAAATTTCTCATAATCATCTCTAGTTATTTTTGAATTTCTTTTGGCATCTTAATGACCAAAAATATATTGGGAGGTTAGATAAAGTGGATTTAATCAACGTATATCTTCTTTCCATAGAAAGTTTTAACTTTCTAAGTGTTTAGTTTTTTGTCAAATTTCTCCACCATCAGATTTCAAATTGATCTTGTAGGCCTCGAATCCACTAAGGGAAACCCTAAATAAGTACAAAGTAAGGACTCAACTCCACAACCTAATAAACATGTCATTCTTGATACAACCAATACCAATGAGCTTGGTTTTACTCAAATTAACTCTAAGTCTAATTGAGAGTACCGCACTTTTCAAAAAAAATCAATAGGCAAGTGATTTCCTTAAACGTGATATTATAAAATATAATAGTGCCATCAACATATTGTAAATGTGATACTATAAGAACATTATTATCAATATTAATACTTGATATGATCCTTTGTACTGTCAATTCATTAAGCATGACCCTAAAGCTCTCAACTACCAAATTATATAAAAATGGTAAAAGAGGGTCCCTTTGTCTCAATCCTTTTGATCCTTTGAAAAACCCAGTTGATTTGCCACTAACGTAGAACTGAAAAATGGGTAGAAGACAGGCAACCATCAATCCACAATATCCACCTTGAACGAAAACCTATTTTAGCCATGATACTTTGTAGTACCCCTCAATCAACCTTATCATATGCCTTCTCAAAGTCTAGCTTACAAATAAGGCTCGGTTTGTCATCCTTGACTCTTGAGTAGATACATTGTTGCGCAACCAAAATACTATCCATAATTTGCCATCCTTTAAGAATGCTGATTGTGGTCCTTTAATAACCATGTGAATCACCTAGCGCAATCTATTGATTAAAATCTTTACTATGCTTTTATATAGACTACCAATAAGATTAATAGGTCGAATATCTTTGATCTCCACAATGACATTTTCTTTGGAATTAAAGTAATAAAAGTGGAATTCATGTTAATATTACTTTTACCTCTCCAATAAAATTATTCTAATAATTGAACAATATCATCTTTCAAAATGTCCTAAAAAGATTGAAAAAAAACCATTGGGTATCCATCTGGGTCAAGAGCCTTATTTCTGCCTAGGCTAAAGACTGCATCTCTAATTTCTTGCTCTTCAAATTTTCTCTCCGACCACTGAGCTTGTTCTAATGGCAACCTAGTAAAAGGTAGATCTTGAATTGATAGTTGAATTCCACTATCGGCTTTATAAGAATTATTGAAATGATTAACCAGTGCCCTTCCAACATCTGACATGTTGACACATTATATTCTTTTAATATGGAGGTTTTGAATTGAGTTACCCTTTTTCATTGCATTAGCAATAGCATGGAAGAATCTTGTGTTTTTATCTCCCTTATTGAGCCATTTCACACAAGATCTTTGTCTCCAATGAATTTCCTCTAAATTAAGTAATTGTTTATACGTAGCCACCCATAAGCTTTTATATCTGAATTGATCATGTGTTAGAGTCCCTTTCATAAACTGAACATTATCTAACTCCTCTATATGAGATTTTGCTGCTCCAATTTTAGATTGTAAATATCCCCTAACATTCATCTTCTATGTAATAATCATTTGTTTCAATAGTTTGAGCTTCTTTGAAATTTGGAAATGTTTCCAACCATTAATGATAGTATTTTTCCAAAAATCTTCAATCAGGCTGAGTAAAGATCTCTATGATAGCCAGGCCAATTCAAATCTAAATGGGGATGGTCCAGACAAGAAACCATCAGAGTTAAGGAGAATAAGGACATGATCAGAAGAAATTTTTGATAGGGCTTTCACACTTATTTTTGGGAAATGAGTAACAAACGTAGAAAAGACAAGAAAACTGTCTAACGTTGTCAAAATAGGATAGTGTAAATTATGATTGGATCAGGTATAGTTAGCCCCAGTAGAAGGAAGATCAATCAATTCATGGTGCTGTATAAAACATTCAAATAATCTCATACAAGAAGACATAGAAGGAGAAGATGTAGATTCACTTGCCATCTAATATTATTAAAGTCACCACAAACCAATCAAGGCACATTCAAATTTAAGTGAATATTTGTTAGTTCCTCAAAAAAAGCAGATTTGTCAACAGCTTTGTTAGGCCCATATACTACAGATAAACACCAAGAAAAATTATCTAAAGGCTCCTGGAAAATAATGGAAATGGGTCTACTTAAAAGAAAGTTTTGTGAAGCACTCAAAACCAAAAGGTCTTAAAGGACCCAAGTACCACCAGAAGAACCATAAGCAACTACTCCAAAAAAATCCAGGGAGCTATTTCTCCAAACCAGTCTGACAGTGCGAAGAGTCGAGGCCTCCAATTTAGTTTCCTGGAGAAACAAGAGATTGGGCATTTCCTTTTTGCGAAAAGAAAGAATATCTATCTTGTGTTGAGCACTATTGAGGCCTCTGACATTCCAACATAACACTTTCATACAGACTGGTAACCATCTCTATGTTTGGTGACCCTTGAAGGACTAGCAAACATATGTTGCAAAGGTTAAGAATGTGCGTGAGAATAAGCACTTACCTCACCGTAGTCATAGT